CATGCTATGTAACCAACCTACGTCAAAATGTAAGCACAACGGACTTCTTTATGGTCAAACGCAACTTTTAGTCATGAAAGATGGATTTATTTGACATCAAACTAAGGTTAGGAGATCAAGAAGTCATTCTGTGAGAGATAAATCGACTGTTTTGAATGTGTACATCTTTCGAATATTAACTGAGCAGTAGCGGCCCAATTATACCGGAAGTCACTATTGAGAGCCGATCGACTACACTAAAGTCATTTGAATTATCCCGTAAATCGGGAGTCCACAATCTTTTTCATTCATTTGAGTTCAGTAATTATCATATACTTGTCATTTGTTCCGCTAATAACCGGAAAAATTGCCAGTTTCACGGGTAAACGGTCTTTCAGCCGTTTACATAGCATGTCGAAAGATGTCGCCTATGCACGTAACACTGAAAGCGGGTGTAACCAATCAGCGCGCGTATTTTCTTAGGACTGTTTTCTAAAAATCATTAATGTCAAGAATTGTCGTTCACATATTACTTGTAATCGGACTACAAAACTGTCGAATTGGAAATAAATTGGATCAAGAAAATCTGCGATGCCACCAAAATTGCGTTGTGTTGTGAGCAAGGTCCAATTTGTATTTTTCTGATGTTTTTTTTCGTTCTGTTATTTACATCAAAATGGACAAGCATGAAGACCTATTGTTTGTAATATGATTTAATTATATTGTGAAGTATCTCGTGGGTTAAACTGTCCAAATTATGCATTGATGTGCTCTCGTATCCAAGTTAAGTATTAATGCAACAAATTGCGATTAAGCAAGGTGAGATTAAGTGAACACACAACATCTGTCAGATGGGAGATCTATATAAAAAAGAAATTATCTGAAAATATCGCTTGTGCGAGTGTTGACTTGTCACGTGGCAAGTCGCCGTGGGAGGCGCAGCGGCCTAATGGTTAGCGCGTTGCATTCTGGATCGAGTAGTCTGGGATCGAGCCCTGGACGAGGTCACTGTGATTTGGTCTTGGGTAAGGCAGTTTGCCTTCACAGTGCCTCTCTCTACCCAGGTGTATAAATGGGTACCGGCGAACTTAATGCTGGGAGGTATCTCTGCGATAGACTTGAACAATATTTTTAACCAATACTGTATCTTTCTATACACTTGAAACTTCATGTTCGCTAAGTAGAGTATCAGAGATCGATACTACATAACTATGTACTAAATTTAAACGACTTATGCGTGGACAAACATAGGTAACTCTACCAAATCTTTCACGTCATGATACAGTGTGAAGCAACACAACAAGGCCAGTTAGAAATTAAAAGACTCGTATAGACCCAATCACGCAGCTGTTTTTGACAAAGCTATAGCATTATTAATACAATGTTCGCACTTTTTAAAGCATTATAGCTCAAAGGAGCTCAGTCACGGTTTGCGCATATTGAGAAGTTTAGCCTCAATTTTTCAAATTCGTCGTTTGTAATCCATGTTAATCTTCTCCATCCTTAGCCATCCTTATTCTTTTATGGTTTATCATTATCTCTTTAGTGGTTTTCTGTCTTATTAAACAGTTATTTTCAGGTTTCCTACCATTTAAAGGTAACTCCTTTAAAAACTTTCTTCTTGCTTTTGCTACACGGTCATAACACGGCATTAGAAAACTGCAATTGTAAATTCTGTTTATTTACTTATCCAGCAGATCTGGGAATTTTAACTTGCCTGGTTAGACCTGGTTACCAATAAAAGCTAACCAATAAAATTTATGAAAATGCCATATTCGAAAAACATCTGAGCTAAACATGGTAATTATTTCCTTCGGAATTATCTTTTTGCTGTTATATACACAGGAACGATGTCATTTTGGGAACATAAGTTTAAGTGGAATCTACAAGCATAATTTGTGAACTTTGGCATATAATAATCTTTGGCAAAATTCGACACAATTGAAAGAAGTCTTTTTAGGGGCACAACTGGCCAACTTCTATGCGCGCCCCGAGAAACTATCACGCTTTTCCGGTGCTTGTCTCAACTTCCCTCGTGTCCTAAAAGTCGAAAAATACCCGCCAAACATGGATCGGTTCATGATCCCGATCGCAAGAGGGGATTGGTTGAACACATTTAAAGATGAAAATTGGAATACTGCCGGGGAAGTCGACAATGAAACAAACTTAGAGTGAGCCAGCCGTCAAATGGTTACGTCTTATACCTAATCGTACTATTGTGGTACGCTTCGGTGGTACATGTCAGAGCCATGGTTCGTACTTATGGAAGATCGAGGCATATTCTTTGAAAAGACCAAACGAGCGTGATATATATACCGCCGAAGCGTACCACAAATGCTACGATTAGGTCAGTATCCTTTACCGCCGTTCCCAAATTGGGCCAAAGATCCCACCATATCAGGTCAGTGACTTGATATCGCAGGATATCAGGACAGTAGACACGAATTTTGATTGGTTCATTGAGAATTTGGGAACCTTAAAAATTAATATACTCGTTGTTGGTACGTGCAAACCCTAGCGCTTACATCATGCAGAGTGACATCTTTGTGACCGCCGGAGAAATCTGTGCAAGTGAATATTTGAAAGATCATATATTTGAACTGGGGAGAAAGATATAAAGACATTTGTATTTGCATTTGCATTTGTAGAAATAATCCCCAGGACAGAAACGACTTCTTATTACAGACACGTTTGCGTTAAAGATGTTACAACTGAGTGACAACATATATCATTCTTTAGTGGAGCTTATTTATTTACGCGTGGGCGCTTTTTTCATAAATGACTAGCAATGTTTAAACGTTCTTCCTCAGTAAAAGCCTGTAAGAACCTGAGAGGTTCTCCCTTTGTAAAACAATAGCACTGAAGCCAAACCTCATTATTAAAAATAAAGATGAAATCAATTAAAACCTTTGTGTGCGGCTTTCCTTCCTTTCGTATTATCAGGTGATTATTGGTATTCACCAAGGTTTACAATTACACTAATGGAGTGATCTCTGAATGGCGGAAAACTCTTCACATTTTTCTTTTTGAACGGAACCCACAGTGGAAGCCTAAGATAGCATTTATTCATGACTGTATAAATTAATTCCATTAACACTAGACAACACGTGTTTCTCGCTTATGATCTCATCACTGCACATATGAATTCTAAAAGTTTTGTTAGGGAGATTTCCATAAGGATAACCCTCCACTCACGAAAAGTAAATGACTTTCAAAGAAGGTATTATCTGAAATTTTCGATTCATGACTTTACGATTGTATTAAGTCCAGTTTTGAAGGTTGAGGGTATTTTAATAACTCCCCATGAAATTTAAATTCTGTTTCTTTGTCCCGTCAACTGATGAACTGGCGCGATCATCTGATAAAACAGTTCACAAAGCCAAACCCACTGATATTAGAGAACAATTACAAGATATTATCAGAGAGATTATTTATTGAACACGATTTTGGCATATGATTTTGGCATTTTATAAGAGAAACATGTTTAGCTCGAAAAAGGTCGTTTCTGAAGAAAAAAAAGCGCTTATGATTGTCGCGAAGAAAGTGACTTGAAGGCGCGCACGTTTCTCAGCAGATTTTAAACTCACTGAAGGTTTCATTGTTTTATTTTTGTGAAATGGCAAATAAGACACGTTTGATTCTTTATCTTTCATTTACGATTTTAAATGGTAAAGATTGAGCACACTGATTGAGTACATTGCTAGTCTTCCACGTAAGGCGTGTGTAAACAAGGACAGTTTAAAACGCTGCAATTCACCTTTCCTTCCTTCCTAAACGGATATCTCTGGGGGCGTTATCGATAGAGGACGTGGGAGTCGGACGTTTCTCATTAGCCATTAGCATGACTATTACATTACCATTTCTCATCATAATATAATTATTCCGCATAATTAACTTCTTCATCGATTAAAATAGTTACTCAAAGGGGCCATGAAACCATTAATTGATTTAATATTAGTATGTCGGTGTTCAAGCTTTAATATTATCAAGCTAACAAATTTGACCTCCCGATGTATTCGTTGAAAAGGGGTTAAAAATAAGACTTACTAAATCACTTGTCACTTGGTGTATTCTAAGATTGCGTATTGATGAACCTGCTGCGAAAAAAACTCTTCAGTTTTAAAGTGGAGAAAGGAAATTAAATCAATTGAGAGAGAGAGATAAGTGAAAAGCTTTTTTTCAAAAAATTCTCGACGATGAAAAAGATTAATAAGTTCAAATTCTTACTCGATCTAACCAGCCTCAGTGATCTAATTTAAACTGAACTAGCTGGATTTCTACTCTATTCAGTTTTGAGTCAATAATGTGTTGCACCACGTTTAAATTTTTGAAAAAGGTGATTTTTAAATTGCGACATAATGCAGTCAACCGTTTGTAATGTTAAGTATGCTTTGAAAAAAGTGAGTGGGAGGTTTACTGTGCTCGTTTAGGAGATAAAGGACAATTTTTTTTTTCCTGTCGAGATTAGCTTGAAGAGAGTCTCACAATACGTTGTGTACGTGCGTACGCGCTAATGAATGTCGTGAAAAATTACACGCAGCAAGGATGCGTGATGCAATTCATTAAAATCACCCTGCACGTGTTCTTCAAGTTTCAAGACTAGTGGAGGTAAGAAATCTCCCCCGCACACATCGTTAAAAGGTTGCAGTTACGCAGCCTTCCTGCCTAATAAGAAACTCAGGCCAAGTCCTACAATGGTTTCATAATCTGTGCAAATTTCGAAAGTTGAGTCTACTCTAAGCACCACAATATGTAAACAAAGATTCCGGGCCGGATGGAGTGTTTGCTGAGGTTTGGATAAACATGACCACCTTCGCAAACAATTCTCTCAGAGTTTTCCCTTTAATTGCGCGCATTCAATTTCCTCATTATCTGCCGCAAGACTGTTGCACAATGATTACCCTTGGCGTTTCCTTATGACATGCGAAATTCAACAGGTAGGAGCTTATCTCCTATTAGCCCCGACGAAGTGTATCTGGTTACATTCCTCGCAAACCTTATATTGAACCGATTGAAGGAAAACTCGTTCACAGCGTTTTCAGCATTCAGGTGATCATCATCTATTTCTGTTGTATTGCAGCCAGCTATTATAAGGATGAATGCCAAACTTAAAGTGTTCTTATTTACCCTTGTATTACTGGCAAGTATGATTACCGAAGGTCAAAGCTTCAACAGCGCATCTGCTCCAAAGGGCAAGCGATCCACTAAACAGGTAAAAATAGCTAAATACATTAGAAAACGAACAAAGCAAGTTACAACAAGAGAAGTGTTGAATGTGTGAGTTGGTGAGTGAGCGAGTGACTCCCGATCTACGTTCTTACTTGACTGACTAACGGACTAACTGGCTGACTGACTGAATGACTAACTGACTGACTGACTGGCTGGCTGGCTGGCTGGCTGGCTGGCTGGCTGGCTGACTATCTGTCGCTGTCTGTCACTGAAGGCAGAAGACTTCCACTGTGTACAGAATGAATTTAACGCACACATTATAGTCAATAATGATCGAAATATATTCTGTCTTCTTTAATTTCAAGCTTTCGGAAGAGAGCAATGTGCTACCTCTTGGAACAAGGAATTTTCGACTGGCCCAAGAGGTAAATTAACACTATTCTTCGTTCCATAGCATCAAATCCCTCCTGATCGTATACGAGGGTCTGGATGGGGATACTGGGATATCAACTATCAGTTAACTGTTTTTGGTGAATTCTCAGCTAAAAGTAGATTTTCAGATCTCGGATCTCATTTCTCAACTGACATTCTCAAGCTCATTAATAATTCATCAATTGTAAGTTTAAACAAAGAAAATCATGACCGTGACAGTACTTGGATATCTGATCTTAATTGGCATACATTTTTACGATTTTATTCTTCCGTTTTCTCCTTAGATTTAGTGTCGATTGAGAAGATATATCAAACACTCAAGACAAACACCTCGAAGTTCGTCAAAAATACTTCGCCGCACGTCTCATTTTCAACTCTCTCCTCCTTGTTTGAAATTAAATGTGGTCAAACACAGTCTTTCGCGTTTCATACATTACAAGTCAACTCCACTTGAACAAGTTTTATCTTTTTCTTTTATGCCTTGTATTTTCTGATCAAGTATCAGTAGAGCGTTTTCACGGGGGTATAATGTTGTTACCGAACTGAGGGAAGTTTCACATAAGAAAGGAACTTACATCAAGAGTAAACAAGGGAATTTCATTTTTGGATGTAACACAAACATGGCCGCCATGACGTCATGTGAAATCGTTCTATACATCTTTATCCTGTTGATTTCTTTTGTGTTCAAAGGACTCTGACGTAGTACGTGTTCGAAGGAATCACCTCTGTGAGCTTGCCAAGAGGACCTGTTGACGATCAATTTAACAAAAGAAGGACAAAGGCTGAAATGAACTTGTTCTTGAAAAAACGTATTCTCAAATAAAAGATGTAGTACTGCTAAATAAATTGATGAATTTCTAACTAAATAAAAGAAAGAACCATGGCGAAACAAATAATTCTCTTTAAATGTCCGATCAAAAAGCGCTCTCCATGCAATGAAAATGAATTATTCGTAAAGTTTCTAGAATCGATTTAGCCTTAAGGGTTTAAACCTGCTTTATACACTGCATGTGGAGCCACAATGTTATGTGTGAACTATTATTTCTCGTCAGTACACTGTAGTCGCTCTACATTTCTTTCAGTTTCAGTCCTGAGAATTTCACCATATATAATCACAAAACCCTTTTACAAATGAGTTTATTTCTGCTCATCACCTTTCTCCTTTTAAATATGTAAATATGTATATCAACAATTGGCGTCCTTATATTATTTGTAATCAGACTGCAGAGCTTTCGAACTGGGAAAATTGGATAGTGAACATTTTGACGCCACCAAAATTGTGTGGTGTTGCGAGGCATGTCCAATTAGGTATTCTCTGAAAATTTTTTAATTTTACACAATGGAGAAGCGTGAAGCCCTCTCTCGTGTTAAACTGTCCAAATTATTTGTTAATTTGCACTCGTTTTCAAATTAAGAACTATTAAACTAAGATTAAGTGAAAACACAACGTCTGTCAGATGGGAGACATCTGACAGACAATTATAAAGATAATCATCGAGACTCCGCGATTTTGTTTGTATAAAAAAACAATCGACAGCTACTTTGGAACACTGCATCAAGGTACTATACTAATAATTTCAAGCAATTCTCTACAAAGCTAGAAAAGACGTTTTTATTACACAACTGTACTTCAATGCGACCTCGATTCAAACGCAAAGCGAGAAAGTAACGGATGTAAAGTTTTATTGATGTGAATAAATACGTATATTATTAATATCATTACTGCGCCTTAAACACTTAGCTAGATACACGACCCCACAAGCAAACCTTTTGCTTTCAACAAAATCGTGTTTAAATAAAGGGCTGTTGTTGTTGTTGTTGTTGTTGTTGCTGACATATAAAAAATAAATTATCTGAAAATGTCGCTTGTACGAATGCTGGCTTGTCACATTGCAAGTCGTTGTGGCAGGCGCGGTGGCCCGATAGTTAGCGCTTTGGACAGTAGTATAGGGGGAGTCAAACAAATACCGTTTCGCAGAGGGA